AAATACTACAATGTGAATGCAACCTTCGATGGCTCTTCAGGTATTTGTTAGGATGTTTCCCTTTCCAGAGGCAAAAGCATTTTAGCTCTTGATTCCACAAAGCATCCCTGATAGTAATACTCTTTCTATTCATATATATATATTGAAGAGATCATTGCAAAGCCTTCCTTGGCCTGACAAGACTGGGGGAAATTTGTCTCAGCTTGCATTTGTTTACAGCTCACATAATCGAGTGAAAAAACAATAGCGTTCCAAGCACAAAGTTCTGGGCGTTACAAGTCAAGTCACAGGACATTCTTTTTTTTTTTTTTTTATTTTAATCTTTATTGAGTTTTGCAGTTTTATAAACCTATAAACGTACAAACAGACAAACATACAAACATACAAAAATATAACATATAAACCCCCTGCTTCGTTAGATGTCTTTAGCCGATTCCAGGACATTCAAAGTGGCTTTCGTCCCAAATTCCTGAGAAAACACAACTCCCATCTTCTCCAATTCCCTGTAGGAAAGAATTGGGGGGTAATACAGGGTGAAAAAATTGCACTGAAAAATCACAAAACAAGATGTATTCCCATTAAACTCCAGCAGCTTTTATTTCCCCCCACAATTTATACAAATAAACACCTTATTTCTTCAGATTTGTATTTGCAATGACTACATTGTAAAGTCATGAAAATGGTAATTATAACAATACTAGTAAATATTTGAGATAAGAATGTAGCAAATTCCTAATTTTCCTCGATGTGTTTATAATTTGAGTAATGAATGCTTTAGTTACAAGTCAAATTTGTTTGTTTGTTGGCAGCGACTAAAATTGATTCTTCCTTTATAGCATTTCAAAGTGAAATCAAATTTGGGGAAAACTGGCAGAGAAAAAAGGTCCATAAGCGCTTATTTACTGTGAATAAGGAGGGAAAGGAAGTGCAATGGATACACATAAATCCTCCGAATCAAGACTAAGAATAGGACTTTGTGTCAAAGTTTTTATTTCTTTTTAAACTACTGCATTTGGCAGACATTCTGCACTGTAATCGAGACTAGTAAAATGACACTAAAAAGTGGGAAGGATACAGATTTTAATACAAAACATTTATGTTCTGCAAGAATTTTGCATTTTAAAAAAATGTATTCAGAAGAAGGATCGGCGACCGCTAGATCTATTTGCTTGTATCGATACTGTATGTTCTTCAGCCTGAAGATGGGCTTCACGGCCTCTGCTCTTTGATTTGTGAACTAAGCTTAGAGATTTGAGTGACCAACCACTTTACAGAGTAAAAGTTCATAGAAAACGAGTAAACAACGGAGATATTTCTGTGTCTTTATTTATCAGGATTCATACAGAGGCTGGACATGGCGCCTGTCTTTGTACAGCTGTGGAAGGTGTGAGTGTGCGGAATGTTATAACATTATCAATTCTGCAAGCATGGAATCATTTTCAGACCTGATGCAATATTCCTTTAGGACTTTTTCCAACTTTTCAAGATTCCTTCTTAGAATCATAGAGTCAAAGAGTTGGAAGAGACCTCATGGGCCATCCAGTCCAACCCCCTGCCAAGAAGCAGGAATATTGCATTCAAATCACCCCTGACAGATGGCCATCCAGCCTCTGTTTAAAAGCTTCCAAAGAAGGAGCCTCCACCACACTCCGGGGGAGAGAGTTCCACTGCTGAACGGCTCTCACAGTCAGGAAGTTCTTCCTCATGTTCAGATGGAATCTCCTCTCTTGTAGTTTGAAGCCATTGTTCCGCGTCCTAGTCTCCAGGGAAGAAGAAAACAAGCTTGCTCCCTCCTCCCTGTGGCTTCCTCTCACATATGTATACATGGCTCTAAGTGTCTCCTCTCAGCCTTCTCTTCTGCAGGCTAAACATGCCCAGCTCTTTAAGCTGCTCCTCATAGGGCTTGGTCTCCAGACCCTTGGTCATTTGTGGTGCCCAATATATCAGTGATTGGTGGTGGGGGGGGGCACAAAGCCAAGTGTCTAGTTTGTTTGTATTATATTTATTTACAATATTAATTCCGCCCTCTTTCAATGGATAGAACACAAACATAAAGACAGAGAAAGAGGCTATTTAATTTCCAGCTTCAT